CAGGATGGGATAAACCTCACAGAGCCCAACAGACAATGGTCAGAACTTCAGCTTGATATCAAAGATGAGAACAAATCAGTGAAAGTGTCTGAAGTGTTTGGAGTTTTTCTGAATAATAAGTAGAGCAAGATGAATTCTAAAGATGGCATGAAATATATGATGAGAAGCTGGAACAGGCAAGGCATCAAGATGAAAGGCATAACGAGGCACGGAGCCGGAGATGTCTCTGAAATAAGGTTCTGGCTATGTCTTGGCATYGAAATTTAGGAAGGAGTCAAAGACTATGTACTCAGTAGATCAGCGTAAGGGACAGGAAAATTACTGAATCTGCCAACAGTTAAAAACAAGAGAAAAAGAGCTGAAATATCCTTGACCCCAAGTGAGTTTGTTTCAATCATGATACCACTAAACTTTCCAAATGCTTCAGAAAATGTTTGTTGAAGCATTATTTATCTTCTTTCAAAAACATTTTTGCATTCCAAGAAATAATATGGTTAGAGTCCTCTGCATGGGTTTCCATTCTGCAGCCATTTTTGAGATGACTAATTCTTGTGGAATTTCAGGAGATTTGACAATTTAAATACCTTTACTTTCTTTTAAAAATCTGCTACCTTCTGTTCATAGATACATAGAGAACATGAGGTCATGAAGGAAATTTTTAGGCTAATATCCAAAATGTTTGTAAAAAGTCTATTAYTAGAATAAAAATATATAATAGACATTTGAAATTGTTTTAGTTAATGTTTTAGTTTTATGGGTTTTTTTGTTGTTTGAGGAGGGAAGATGGGTTTGTTTGGCTTTGGGTTTTTTTAATTATCTGTACCTAAATCAATCTTTAAATGTTAATTTATTTAGGAGTAATATGTATCTCAGATGGTATTTAATCACTTCCTCTACCACGCCATGTTATTTTAAACAATTGGTAAATGGATCACTTGCAGAGGTCTCTGCAGAATTGAAGATTAATACCATTTTCTCCAGCATGAGACACTCAAATTTATCCTCTAGAAAACAATAGAGAACACTGACTACACTTCTGGGAATATGCAAGCAATTTTGTAAAGTCAGGAGAAGTTTACATTACAATTGCCATATCAAACTCAGACAAGTGAAATCACAAAAGCCAAACCAAAGCAAAAACAGCTCAATGCAGGTGAATGTCAATGCCAAACAAGAAAAAGACAGTGAAGTTGCAGTTTGTCTGGGTGACTTCAACATAACAGAATGTATGCATACAAGGGATCAAAAATGAGGGAACCTCATTGTGAACAAAACTGAAAGTAAAATCGAGCAGTAGAGTGACTGAAAGTGAGAATGGAAAATGCAAGCAGCTATTTGGTTGCAGACATTAGTTATAGCAGATGTGACTGCCATTAGCTCTAAATGCATCTTAAATTAAAGCCAACATCTGTTCTCATAGAGATGGGCTCAGTCATCTTACAAGAAAGGTTAATTTGGAAATCAAAACTTTAGGAAAGGATTAAAGGCAGGGTTTGGTAGAGGTAGAGAAACCTGATGTCTGTCATGGCAAATGATAACTGGGCAAATATTCATACTCATGGAGGGTCATTCTATAGCTCATAATGAGTGGTGTTATACAGCAGCTGGTGAAGGTCCTGCATGTAGAAGTCAATAAAACCTTTTACGGTGTAAATACAGGATTCAGTGATCTGACTTCTTTTTAGACAATCAAAGATGAGCGATGTAAAGTAGATGCTGGCTGAGAAAAGGAAAGCAAAGTCCCAAAGATTTCCAAATAATGACTAGCATTTAACTCTGACCAGCACTTCCACAAARAGAAACAAAAATATGACAATATCAGGCATCATAAAATATTGGGACCTAGAAAAATGAAAGTAGTAAGAATGAATCAAAAGTCCAATTGCACAGTTACCAAAGCTGGATGTAATTTCAGAAAACTGAGGGAAAGGATTTCCAAAATGATGAYGGGATTACAAATAGTAAAATAGATGGTAGGGTCAATCATCAGAGAAATCACAGAGAAGAGACTGTCATCTAATCAGAGTGCTGAGAGCTGAGGAATAAAAAAATAAAGGAGAGGAAACCTATCTGRCTGGGACTTCTTAGCACTGTTCTTAGCCACCAAGTAATAAGGCTTGTAAGAAGTACTTAGCAGCAGGAAAAAATTACACAATTTTGTAATAAAATAATAAAATACAATAGAAGGGGAAAGTCCCAGGAACTATCAGTATTTGGTATCCTGCTCTTCCCATCATTATCATCAGTTATACAGTAGTGGCTATCTAAATTAATTTTATTAAATAATCTGCTGAAATAACTATTTAAAAACAGTTATAGCAACAATCATAAAGTCTGAATTAATGTGTAGATCTAWGAGTTTATTTCTCATTTTGGGTTTCATTGTAAAACATAAAATTCAATTTAATTTGGGCTGATTTAATAACCCATAACTTAAGCAACAAAACTATATTTATGAATACCCATCTAACTTATTTCTAAAATATCATACAGATTTAAAGCAATGTTGCTAAAGTAACAAGTYGAAGTAAGTTAGATGGCTTTGTTTAGTGAGGATTTATAGTAAGTTTAAGTAATTACTTCTCACCTTTTAGTTTCAYTGTAGTAAAGTTTAAAGTTTACAACAACACAAAACTTGAAGWAACTACAGTTTATTGTTTAATAGTGTGGTGCAAATTTTTAGATGTAATGAGACMATGTATTCTTAAGTATTTATGTTACTTCTGGGACAGTTGTGCAAGAATTGCAGTGTATRTGCTACTGTTATTTGCTTCTCCCARSAAATTGCCATGTCCCCTGCACAAACATCACCCATGCAACTCAGCCATTACAATTTAGAAATTATGTCTTCATGAAAGAATGGTGTAATACCTCCTTTAGAGAAATCTCTTATTAATCCTCTGATGTTAACTAATTGATAACAGGTGCACAGGATGCAAGTTATRATGACAAAATTGGCTGGCTAGTATAATGTAGGTATAGATTATTACAGGAAYTACACAAAAGGGAGTTTGTTGCTGCCATTTAAAAAATATTTTATATTGATAATAAATACTTTGTTCTGTTGGCTTGACATACAGAATCCTCTTGTCATTARCAGCTATTTCTTGCCAATATATTTGTTTATGAGTTTTCAGTAATAAAGTTCTTTCCCAGTTTTGTTGACTGAGAGTTGCTGTTTGAATGTTAGGTAAAAGTTCATTTACTCTCACAACATAGTCATATCTAAAAAGATTATTATCCCTGAGGGAGAAACTATCTGCTAACCTCTGCATACAATAACTGGATATAATAACCTGGAGTCTATATTTGAAAAGAAAAAACAAACTAAAACATGCAAGCATGATGCTGCAGGTTTTTGTTCTTGTGTAATGTCTCCTATTGTCTTCCTAGTATGCATTTCCTGTCATTTTCATCGTTCTCTCGTTTTATAATTTGATAAAATTATAAATGGAATTACACAGAAGATATTATAAATGCTATTCCAAATAAAATTACCTGAAAAGAGATCAGTCTCATTATTTAAATAAAAGAAATATTGCTCCTAYGATGTTTGCTTCTGGAAATTGAAAAGCGAAGATGGAATAGGGGAGAGAGAGAAGATTGGAAATTTGCCCTTGAATTTCAACCCATTTGGGGTTGAAAATAAACTTTTATTTTTGAAATAGTTTTCTTAAATGATGTTCTTCAAATTGTGGACTTGTAGCATTAGCAACTAATTTAAATAACCACACTGTAATAACAGCTGGTCAGCATTGTGTTTTAATGATAGTTTTGCTCAGTGAAGTGCAAGACATTATTCCATTAAAAAAAATCAGAATTACCACCATGTATAAATGTCAGTCTGAATCCACGTGTATCAAAGAAGTCCATGGCATTAGAAGAAAAAGGAAAAAAAATATTTTGGTCTAAAATTGTAGCTAATGAGAGAAATCCCTAAATAATATTTAGGAATTGCTCTGGCCAGAGATCCTTTGGTATATAGGTAATTTCAGCTGCTTACATTTAGATTAAAAATATTAGTCGTAGTATTCTCAGAAGTCAACACTAGATACTCTAATAATCCTCACAGATGTTCGTACTTTAAATACGAGAGGTACTGTCATTCCCACAAAATAAACACATAGTAGGAGGCAAAGGAAAAAATTCCTCCAAAATGTTTAAGTGTAAACACAGGGTCTTGCAGTAAAGTACATGAACATTACAGTGAGAAATGAAAAAGTTGTGGAAAAAAGTTGACTGTAAATTATAAAGAAAAGGAGAGTGGATAAATCTGTCATTTAACCCTGAGGATAACTGTCCTAATTGATGAACTAGTTAGGAATGTAAAACTGACACAGATGAACTGCTCAAAGAAGGAGGAAAGCCAAGTACATGAGATTAAAAACTAAGGCAAGAATTCAAGTCAAAAAACATCTCTAAAATTTGTAGTAAGGATATGGACTCTAGAAAAATCTCCATAGTTAAACAGAAGGTATTAAGTTCAATGATCAAACTGAAAGCCATAAAAAGCAAACCCGAAATCAAAAGCAAACATCAGTTCAACYATCCTAAGGGAAAAGCAGACATGGCAAATTTCTCATTACCTCAAATCTTTACATCATGACATAATATGGTCATTTGTTTCAAGTTTCTGGACTGTGGTGCTGACCCCGCCTCTTCCACAGTGTCAGAGAATGTAATCAGGGAGTTGTGAAGCGTTGAAGAGTTACTGTGCTCTTCCCTACTCCTCGCACACCCTTAGTCTTCAAGGTCAAGCAACTGCAATCTACCTCTTAAAGCTTTCCCAGATTACATAGATTTACTGTCACCAGTAACTCTTACACTATTCTGTAGTAAATTGTGAAACTCTGACTTCAACGAGAAACTTCACCCTAAGAAACTCAAAAAGGGCTCATCTAGCTCTGGTCACTGTATTTAGTGATGGAACAGGGAAACACAGTTATACAGACTAGCTGATAAAATTCTGAATTGTTCGCTGTGACCATATGTTTTAAGAATTTGTAATGAAAAGGAAGCATGGAAACATTTTCAGGAGAAATAAAACCTTATGTTCGGTTAGGAATGTATTCTGTACTTGGCTGTTTTGGTAGCATATTATTACTACTACCCTGGACAAGTTTTGTGGGTACTGACTGCTCTTGCTGCTTCTGTCTTCATGTCTGCATTGTCAGTAAGTTATGTCTCATGTGCTGTTTGGATTACTTCGGTGTTRAGACACTGCCACTGAAGTCATGCTGTAGATACCATTCATTAGAGATTCAAATAGTAGTTTATTTTAGAAACCTCATAACTAAATTTACTGATGTAATAAATGTGCATGATAAAATCTTAAATTAACTTTCATAGTTAGCTAGTAGTGCAGCTAAATGTAACAAGACTTACAAAGTCTAAATATTGTATCTTAATCCAGACAGTGAAAACTTGTAATTACATAGTGTATCCTGGGAGCTTGTTTATTACAAGTTCACTGATGTCTTTGTACTGATTGGGACCATGTAGTTCTTCCAGCAAGTCATCTTCTTTGTCTGACAAACTGTTTTCYAGGACACTAAGTTCAAGATCAGACATGTTAGATGGCAAGTAAGAGCTAACTTCAGTCACTGACTGCTTTTTTCCTGCAGAGGTCTGCCCCTCTCCTATACTCAGATCAGCAGATTTAACTTGTTTGCTTCTCAGTGTAGATACTTCTTTAATATGTTCATCACTCCTGTTCCCTTCCTTACTCATCTGTTGGGCTTTCTGCTCTTCATCTAATAATGATGCCTCCATTTCAGCAAGATTAAATGAGTCAGCAGATTCAGCACTAGTTCTCTTGCTGGTTTTAAAGTCACAGTTTCGCCTCAAAGACTGGACTGGAGATGAAGCTGAAGGAACTGGCACAAGATCTGAAGTACTTGGAGCTCTTTGATTAGTCTTTGAAATTCTGGACCTGCTGGATTCTGGCTCTGTATCTGACCTATCTCGCTTTGGGCTTTCAAGCCACAGAGGTTCAGGGCTGCTGTCAAGAACTTTTGAGTCCCTGCCTGTACACTCAGCACTCGTGAAATCTTCTGAATAAACTGTGTTCTCTGGACTAGCAACGAAGTCATCAGAGTATATGAATTCAGAGTTGTTTTCAACACTTCTGCTAGGGCTTAGGTTATGACCACTTACAACAGATACATCATGCTCCATGGTTTTATGATGGACTATGTGTATTTCATTGTCATTACTTCCTTTTGCATTAGCATCTGATGGGAACACTGCGGGGAGCTGAGCTTTTGCATACTTTTCGTCAGGAGCASATTTTAACACAGTTTCCTCCAGTAAGGGGGCTGTAGTTACTTTGTATGGGACTTCCTTGCTTGCAATTGCATAATTCCTGGAGGGACTTGCAAGAGCCTGTTTCTGCAGGCCAGGCGACACACCTCCTGTCACTGAAACGGACTCTAAGAGAGCACTGTTTTCTAATAAACTCGGAACAGTAGTATCCAACTGATTATTCTGCTTTGAGCTGCCTCCCGTGCTACAATGCCTGCAAGAAACCACATGYTGTTCTCTAGCATTTTTGAGCAGCTTTCTCTTGGGTAAGGAGCTTTTCTCCTTCACCATCTCCATTTGCTTTTTTCTGTACTGCTCCCTCCTTTCATGAATTACCAGCTTATCAGGATTGGTCTGCTGCAGCCGTAGCCTCAGTGTATTTGTCAGCCCATACAACAGTTTCTTTCTGGGAGGTCTGTTCTCCTTAGCTTTGCAGCTGCTTTCAGAGGCTGACTGCTCCTGGGGCACAGCTTTCTTGGGTCTTCTCCCAGCTCCAGAAGACTTTACTGAAGTGGCCCTTTGACAGCCTTGTTTGAATTGAGGGCTCRTGGTTCCACTGCTCCTGCCAGGCCCCACAGGTGCCTCTGGAGGCTTGAAGGCAGTGGAGTGACTGGGGGGCATTGAGGCCATGTCTCCACTCCCTGGGGCCTGGTAGAGCCAGGCAAGATGAGGGTGGACAGCAGCAGTAGGCACAGCGCTGCGGGTGAGCACCGACAGCTCCGCCAGCAAGGCACTGAGTAGCGGCAGCTGCACCAGGGTGTTGTGGGGCTGTCCAGGGCTGGCGGGATGCAGCAGCGAGGGCCCAGCACTGGGACGTGGTGAGCTCTGGCCCTTGTCCTTCTGCRGTCTCTGGGGCTCCACAAGCTCCCACTGTTCCATTGCTGCTGCCGGCCGCTGAGGCCCAGCTGGCTCACGGCTGTAATAGAGCAGCGGAGGGCAAAACACGTTGCCTTCCAGCTCCTCTTCCTCTTCCTCCTCCTTCTCTTCTTCTTTCTTTTCTTTCTTTTCCTTCCCTTCCTCCTTCTCCTCTTCCTCCTTCTCCTCTTCCTCCTCGCCTCGAGGTTCAGGGGTGGTGGCAGGCGGCGTGGCAGCGCGGGGGATGGCGGTACTCGCCTCTCCGGCCTCCAGGCTGATGAGGCGGTAGCCCAGGACCAGCTCCCCGRCAGGGCGGCCCGTGGCGTCCCGCAGCACGAAGCGGCCGCGGTGGCCGTAGGAGGAGGGCGCCCCGGGCCGCTGCAGCAGCTCGGTGGCAGCGGGCCTCAGGGACACGGCACAGCTGCCGAGGAGGCGGGGGGATCCCGGGGCGAGCCCGGCGGGCATCGCCAGCAGCAGGGCGCGGAGCGGGCGGCGGCGGAGCGCGGCGCAAAGCGAGTCCGAGCACCAGCGGAACACGCAGCGCTTGCCGCGGCCGAAGGGGAAGGGCAGCCCCGGCCGCAGGGGCGGCGCGTCGGCGGCGGGGCGCAGCACGAGGGTGGGGAATTCCAAGAAACGCAGCGCCACGGCCGGGTGCTCCGCGGCTGCCGGGTGCTCCGCGGCTGCCGGGTGCTCCGCGGCTGCCGGGTGCTCCGCGGCTCCCGGCTCCGCCACCCGCACCACCTCCACCAGCAGCTCCAGCACGAACAGCCCCTCCATGCCAGCCCGCGGTCCAGCTCTCGCGAGAGGCCCGTCTTAGTGAGGGGCGCAGGGGAGGCGGGCGGTTCTCTCGCGAGAGTTGCGCCGCAGCAGCGCTCCCTGTGCGGCGCATCCCGGGAGCCGCGGCCTCCCCGCCCGCAGCGCCGGGGAAGACGGGCACCCTCGGGCGTGGAGCGTGCCTCCAGCAGCTCCAGGGTGCCTCCAGCAGCTCCAGGGTGCCTCCAGCAGCTCCAGGGTGCCTCCAGCAAACGTGTTGCCGCCTGCCCTGCTGGCTGGGTGAGGGGCAGCGGTCGCAGCCCGTGGAAACCAGGTGCTCCGTGATGTCTCCACGAGTGCTCCGTGTGTCGTGGCAACTGCCGTAGTGTCCCTGCCCTCGGCTCTGAGCACCCAGGTCGTGTGTTCCCCATTGTGGTTCTCAAGAGACAGGAGCAGGGGTGGGATGGGTTCCGTGCTCCATCAGGCAGCCCGAGTGGTGTTTGTGGAGGCAGGGAGGGATCTTAAACTATTTTTACCTTAACAGAATCACTGAATTAACTGGGTAAACAAAAACCTCTCAGATCATCCGAGTCCARCCTTTGACTGAACACCATCCTGTTAACTAGACCATGGCACTGAGTGCCATGTCCAGTCTTAAACACCTCCAAGGACTGTGACTCCATCACCACCCTGGGCAGCTCATCCCAACATCTAATCACCCTTTCTGTGAAGGAATTATTCATAATGTGCATCTAAATGTCCTTGATACAGCTTAAGACTTGTCTTGTTAGTTGCAGCCTGTTGCCGCTCCAAGAGGAGGTATGTCTCCTTGGGGGTCTGTGCCAAGGGCTGTATGTGAAGAGYGTCTGCACGGTACCTTGGATAGGCATTGTTAAACTCGTATTTTCTCTCCCGTCTGCATGTAAAGGGAGAGTTAAAGTGAACACACTTGTGAAGAATTTCATTCCTCAGCCACCTGCCCGTCAAGGAGATTGCCCTTCCTTCTCTGGCCGTCCTTCCCCAACACCAGTCTGCTTGCCACAGGCACAACAAATATTTGCTGAGATAGAAAGAAAATTGTGTTATTTGTTTTATTCAATTAGTAAATTGACTCTAAAACAATGTATCCTAAACTGAGGGCGTGCAGTTAAAATTACGGTGCACCCTCACCATTTACCGGCAGGGAAGTAGCTTAAAGAAAGACCAATTCCCTCTCTCTCTCTCTCTGGTTATTTCCTCCTTTTTTTCCACTTTCTTTCAGCTATCAATTCACAGTTTTTTAGAAAAGTGGAAACCAGCAGGAGGTGGTCAAAGAATCCAACTCTTCACTCTTGGTCAGGTCCCTTGATTATTGTTAAATGGACACCTTTCATTAGCTGTTATGTCTGAGAAGAGAGTTAAGGAGTTTGACTTSTGTGTTTTGGTCAGGGCTTAAGAATTACATAATTCAGTTCTCAATTTCTCYACTGGCACTGTTCTAAGCATGTGAGTTTAAGAGCTACAAGTTCTCTGCCATCAAGGCTGCCAATGTTCAGGTGTGGCATTTTACTGGTTTTGTGGCAGACAGGACAAATGGCCAGTCTCTTTCCCTACTTCATGTCCTCTGCAATCCGTCATCTGCTTGCCTTGTGTTTCCTTTTCCTCCAACCAGTTCCCACATCAGGAGGGTCTGGCAGTTTAGTTGTGATTCTCCATAAAGGAGAAATGACACAGAAGAAAGACTTCCTRATTGATTGAAACTGACAGATTTCACAGTGGTCAAATAGTCACYCTTGAGGTCACCCAGCAAGATCAACATTTCCCCCATTTTATAGACAGACATTACTGTGATTATGTGGTTTAGTCCATGATTTCTAAAATCTCAAATTTGAAATGTCCAACCTCTGTAGGCAAAGATGCATCTTTCTGTGTGATAACTGCAACTGGAGTTAGGGGGTAAGTTTTGGAGGAACTGAATTCTTGTTCTAAGATGCTGAGCTCCTGCACTCTGAAGTTTTCAGTTTCATGTCCCTGAGAATCAGGCAATTCTGTATTTTGCTGTGCACAAACAATACAAATAAAATGTACTGAATACTTGTGAGAACTATACATGTTTATAAGGTGTATAAGATCAGTCAGCAAGTTGGTGACAAAACATTTATTTAAATAGAAAGGAGTAASGAATTTTAAGTTTGTTCTAGTTGGTGTGTTTTATTGAGTCAATCCTGTGGTCATGAGAACATACTTCTCTTCAAAATAAACAGAAAAAAAAATCGGTTTTGAGTTGCAAGTTAGGAGGAAAAAGTGTTTTAGTCTCAATAGTCTTAGTTTCTACTAACCATTTAAAGGGGACTTGTGATAAGACTTCTTTAGATTGCATATCACTGAAGAGTGATTTAGAAAACAGTCATGCCACAGAGTTAGGGTTATGGAACCAAGTTTCGTTACCTGCTACCACTCCGGGTACTGCAGGTACRTATTGGGATCTACAATATTGCATTTAGCAATCTTTTAAAAAGAGCTCTGCTTCTTCTTAGTCCTCCTTTCTTACAAACAGAATTCAGATCTTCTGGCTTTTTTTCTAAAAGACTGAAAGACTGAGGAATTTTGCTGATTCAGTGAAGTCTTTCATTGACCTTATTTTTATGTTTGGAGTACSAACTTTCTGTCTCAAAAAATTACAACCCAGACAATTGGTGTCATTAGCAGCACTCAGCAACTTTGGTTCGAATCTGTCTTTTGAAAGCTCTGAAATGTCTTTTTTTGCCCTTAATTCCTGTACAATTTCAGATTTATCAATCTCTTTACACAAAGAGATCTGTCTGTACAGTTGTGTCTGTTTATGAATTGAGATACATGACACTTGTAAAAAAATCTTAAAAAGCATAGATTTTGCTAGATTCAAAATGTGTTGTTCTAAGGRTTTCATTTTTTAGACATCAAATGCTGGCATAAAGAGCCACTCTTTACCTGGATATAAAATTCCTCTTCTCTGTGCAGAATGTAAAGGGCAATGCTTGGAATTTGTGCAAATATTTAGCCTGGTGGCACTCTGATTCAGAAAGGAGTCAGACAGTCTGCTGGAATATTCAGCTGCAACATAATAGCAGTTCTTAAAATACTCCAGCTTAAAATGCCACCCAGAGAAAACTTATTTAGTCTTTTCTCAGTTGTCTGTTGAGTCAGCCACTTGTGAAAGGGCAATAAACAGCAAGAAATTCAGGAATTAGCATGGCTGCCTTCAATAAAGCTCTTCAGAAGAAAATGAAAATTTGTAAAATACATGAGCAAAGCRTTTGAGGTTTTTGCAATATATTTAGATTTCTCTCTTGAAGAATCTACAAGAAGTTTTGAAAAGTACTAAGGTCAAATAAGAAAGTGAAATCTCTTCAGAAATTACTGTTCGCATATGGTTTGATATATTGTGCAGAGTTTTGCAGGGAACTTTTCCGTTTCCTGTGTCCAGATTCTACTTCATGATCCTTAATTTCATACTGACCCAGATCTAATGATGTATGGAGCAGTCTAGAAACAGTTGCAATAGTATTATTGGCATAGGCATTTTGTAATCCATCAAAATGAAGGATACTGCTGTTTCTCCCCACTTCTCAGTGTGTACCTTCCTGCCCACAAAGTGCCCCTTCATTTGGGTGGTCAGAGCAGCTGGTACAGAACCTACACAGACATACACAGCTCCAAAATTCCTCCYTTGTGTTGCTACCCTGAAGGCGCTTGTGAACTCCTCTTACATCAGTGTGATAGCTCTCACGTTTATTTTCACTCTCTACTATCTTTAGCAGACTTTGGGAGTGTTAAAATAAACGTTCTTTGCCTAGTCATGTGGCCCTTCTCCATTTGGCAAACACCCGTCTGTTTCCTGTCTTTTTAATGATTCTATTGCTGTCCTTAGTATTTTACTTTTTCAGAGCAGTGAGAGTTGGGGCTTATGGCAAAGCTGGCTTACTTCTGCCAAGCCAGCAGGACTGGCACACAGGATTGTTTTCTCATTACTGTGTGGAGGGATGGGGGAAATCGTCGGCCTTTGAGATGCATGTGGCTTTCACAGCCAGCTTAGAAATGCCAGCCAGCCCATGCCAGGCTGTGTTCTGATTCCAAATTTCTTCAGGGATTAATGGGACTGCGGCAAAACACAGTTTCTCCTTCTGTACTGAGCAGTCATCATCATCTTTCCTAGATGCAACGAAACTCAGTCCAAGTAGATACCTAAAGGTAATATGGGAAAATCTGGCAAATACTGCAGGAGCCAAAAAGAAGCAGGATGTCACTAATACAGGAACTCAGGCAGCTATATTGAACCTGACAGTGAAACATATCCATAAGGGTCACATCTGAGGTGATTTCCTTTATTTAAAAAGAGTCCTTATTAAARCCAAGAGGCATTTTTGCTTAAAACAAAACAATAGTGAAGGGTCAGCCTCAGGATTCAGCTCGTTGAATATTCTTTGTATAATGCCCAGCAATAGTCAAAGCAAATTTCCTTAAATAACTGGGTGTTATTAGCACATGGAAGCTTTTCTGTCAGCTTCTTATTTTATATAAACCATCATGAACATATTTGGTGTTAATGGAAATTCCGTAGGTTCACACGTTGTCATTTAGAATTAATTAATGTATCATTCTTTAAATTGTGTTATTTCCCATGCAATAGCTGTGAAGCTCTCAAAAGTACTCAAAAAGATTGATTTATTTTTTTCTGGCTTCATAGTTGCAGCCCATACTTGTCATGCACATATGTAGTGAATGAGGAGAAGATTCCAGGTGCTTAGCCATCCAAAGAGGACAGCTTAATCACAAAACAGAGTAGTTGGCTGCATATGTTTCAGAAGCAGAGAAAACCAGCAGCAAAGGTTTTTGTCTAGGTGTGGGGATCCTTATGATTCCTGTTGTAACTGTAGAGCTGGAGAGGTCCTCAGCCAGTCTCAGAGACACTGTCTTTGCAGGCAGTGAATTTTCAGACTTGTCACCTCCTAAAAGGATATGTTTACAGCATTTCTCTAGCTCAAGCTGGGAACCATTGGGGGCAA